GCTGAGGGCTGATTAGAAACCCCAAACCGTGATGATAAAAACCATGAGGTAACTGTTCAAATAAAATAAGACTGTAGTTCATTAAGTCAATTTCAGCATAGTCCTGGCATTTAGTCTCCTGGAGAGCCACGAAATCAAAACCATACCTTTTAGCGTCTATAACAAGCTGCTCCTTTTTAAGGTCCTTTGTTAACCCATGAACGTTCCAACTAGCGATACTTAGCATAGACATCATAGCAATGACGAGTAAATTCACTGTAGTTGAGGTAGATTGAGAGTACAGGCGACGATCTTTTAAGGGACCATAGGTGTCACATGTCTCCCCCAGCGTAGGCACGGGCATCACTCCTGTGCGACCATCCTGAATCTTACACTGACCAATCATACACTGACTAATCTTACACGTACCAATCTTACACGTACCAATCTTACACTGACCAATCATACACTGACTAATCTTACACTGACTAATCATACACTGACTAATCTTACACGTACCAATCTTACACGTACCAATCTTACACTGACCAATCATACACTGACTAATCTTACACTGACTAATCTTACACATACCAATCTTACACTGACCAATCATACACTGACTAATCTTACACGTACCAATCTTACACTGACCAATCATACACTGACTAATCTTACACTGACCAATCTTACACTGACCAATCATACACGTACCAATCTTACACATACCAATCTTACACGTACCAATCTTACACTGACCAATCATACACTGACTAATCTTACACTGACTAATCTTACACATACCAATCTTACACTGACCAATCATACACTGACTAATCTTACACGTACCAATCTTACACTGACCAATCATACACTGACTAATCTTACACTGACCAATCTTACACTGACCAATCATACACGTACCAATCTTACACATACCAATCTTACACTGACCAATCTTACACTGACCAATCATACACTGACCAATCTTACACTGACCAATCTTACCCTGACTAATCTTACACTGACCAATCTTACACTGACCAATCATACACTGACCAATCTTACACTGACCAATCTTACACTAACTAATCTTACACGGACTAATCTTACACTGACTAATCTTACATTGAAAAATCTTACACGGACCAATCTTACAGTTACACTGACCAATATTAAACCAATATTAAACCAATATTAAACCAATATTAAACCAATATTAAACCAATATTAAACCAATATTAAATCAATATTACACTGACTAATCTTACACATACCAATCTTACACTGACCAATCTTACACTGACTAATCTTACACTGACCAATCTTACACTGACCAATCTTACACTGACCAATCTTACACTGACCATTCTTACACTGACCAATCTTACACTGACTAATCTTACGCTGATCAATTTTACACTGACCAATCTTACACTGATCAATTTTACACTGACCAATCTTACACTGATCAATTTTACACTGACCAATCTTACATTGAAAAATCTTACACTGACCAATCTTACACTTACCAATCTTACACCGACCAATCATACACTGACTAATCTTACACATACCAATCTTACACTGACCAATCATACACTGACTAATCTTACACGTACCAATCCTACACTGACCAATCATACACTGACTAATCTTACACTGACCAATCTTGCACTGACCAATCATACACGTACCAATCTTACACATACCAATCTTACACTGACCAATCATACACGTACCAATCTTACACTGACCAATCTTACACCGACCAATCATACACTGACTAATCTTACACTGACCAATCTTACACTGACTAATCTTACACATACCAATCTTACACTGACCAATCATACACTGACTAATCTTACACGTACCAATCCTACACTGACCAATCATACACTGACTAATCTTACACTGACCAATCTTGCACTGACCAATCATACACGTACCAATCTTACACATACCAATCTTACACTGGCCAATCATACACGTACCAATCTTACACTGACCAATCTTACACTGACCAATCTTACACTGACCAATCATACACTGACCAATCTTACACTGACCAATCTTACACTGACTAATCTTACACGTACCAATCTTACACTGACCAATCATACACTGACTAATCTTACACTGACCAATCTTACACATACCAATCTTACACTGACCAATCTTACACTGACCAATCTTACACTGACCAATCTTACACTAACTAATCTTACACGGACTAATCTTACACTGAAAAATCTTACATTGAAAAATCTTACACGGACCAATCTTACAGTTACACTGACCAATATTCAACTCTAATGTAAAAGCACACGGTAAAAGTCTGACAAGAGATTAGTCCTTTTGTCCTTGGCACCACTCGTGACGTAATCGTATGTATCCATTAAATCACGTCATATTCATAAGTGCTGATGAAGAGAGGTTAATTTCTTATCAAACAAGAATCAAATTGGATGCAAAAAGGGGTGAAATGGTAGAAATTAGATTAAGCATCAATTTCTCTAACACTATTCGAAATGGATAACACAGATAAATCATAAAAGACGTACAAATATTTATAAAAGTTATAAGGAAGCAGGTCACATTCCTTATGCTATTCTTTATTCCTAATTATATATTAGATCTTGCAGATAAATCACGGTTTAAAAAAAGGAATTTTGTCGTTAGATCCGCTAATATATAATGATTTGCTTGTGTTTACGTTTCCGAATGCATAAATATTAATGCTCAAAGTTAATTATCGTCAAAGCAAATTAACCGTCAAATAATCTCTTTTTGGCGGGTTCTCAAATGTTTGAGAATGTTAAATCCAATTCATTTTTACTCTTAACGGCATAACCAACAATTGCTAAATTTAAAAGTATGAATCAGTCATGGACCATGATTTATATTAATATCAGAGTCTTCAAACCCTTACTGGCCTTCTTACACTATTACTTGGGCGATAAAATAGTTGACTAGCGTTGAGATGACCACATAATAATTAAGCTGGGAAGCACTGAAAGCTGGGTGCATAACGAAGAATTTGTGGTCACGTTAAGGTGTACCAGTTTATAGCTAAACTATTATTGGAGGAGGAGCAGATCAAACAATTATCTTAGGTCTCCCCAGCACCCAACTAGACGGTGCAGCTTTTGTTTTTCTGGTCAGCTGTCCTACCTGTACAACTATAGAACAAAGTATAACTATAGTACAAAGAACTCAATTATGTACCACGTTTCAAGTGTGTGACGCATGGAATAATGATGTTGATAAGAAGATAAGGCCTTGTTCAATTTCAAAACTGCCAATTTTTCATCAAATAGTACCAGGCATTAATATGAACGCTCTAAGGCATTTCAAAAAACGTAATGGCCTCGTAATGTTACCACTTCACCACCCGGCCTCGTAATGTTACCACTTCACCACCCGGCCTCGTAATGTTACCACTTCACCACCCGGTCTCGTAATGTTACCACTTCACCACCCGGCCTCGTAATGTTACCACTTCACCACCCGGCCTCGTAATGTTACCACTTCACCACCCGGCCTCGTAATGTTACCACTTCACCACCCGGCCTCGTAATGTTACCACTTCACCACCCGGCCTCGTAATGTTACCACTTCACCACCCGGCCTCGTAATGTTACCACTTCACCACCCGGCCTCGTAATGTTACCACTTCACCACCCGGCCTCGTAATGTTACCACTTCACCACCCGGCCTCGTAATGTCCATTCAAATAAAGTCTGATACGAGTATTATACGCAAATATTGGTGTTGATTTTTCGATGATGATACTAATGCGTTAAAAATACGGCGCCAAAACTCTCGCAGCTTATTCAACCCTAGCCAAAAAGCGGTTTAAGGGCCGATTTAATATTTGGGAATTTATTTGTAACCCTCAAACAACTATTAGTTCCTACTTCCTCAATCCTCAGTAGGACGATTGATCAAAATAGCATCATTTTACTGTTCGATCAATATCCATTGTTCGTTCAAGAGAACAACTTACCTTACAAGACATTTTTGTGGCGGACCAATTTGCGACGACCGAAATTTTGGCGGTCCGAAAATATGGCGAAATTGAACAAAAACCGTCACATTTCGGACGTCACAGAAAATAAGGGTATTTTTCATCATTTTGTTTTCTGACACAAAGGAAATTCAAAATTTTCTAAAAATCGGTAAAATCATGTTGAAACAAAATGAAACTTATAAATCGATTTCTTCATCTTCCTCTAAGGGGTCCGGTTCGAATCTTTCAGTTTCACTTATTGAGTTTGGTATTAAATTGTTTATCTTGACTTAGTCTATAAGACGTTTATGTTAGCACATAAATGTAATTTATTGTAAATTTAAAACGTTTAATTTGACATTAAATTCATCATGGAATATTGTGTTTATTTGTCCCACCATCATATCACTAACTTTTCAAAAACAAAATGAATCGATGAAGCCACAATTATTGGAATAAGCTAAAAATAATGCGACGGATTCTATTACGACGACCGAAATTTTGGCGGTCCGAAAATATGGCGAAATTTCGGGAAAACCGTCGCATTTCGTACGTTATAAAAATGTCTTGTAAGGTATGCGGTAACTATACTACTCTTCATTCGCAATAACCAAACAATCAGTGCAAGTTAAATTTGGCGCTCAAGTTAGAATTGTTTAAGTACTGCATAACTGTTTTTGTTGTTACGTATAGAAGCAAAATATAATAATAGTAGCATCAAGCGTGACAAGTCGCAAGACAAAAGCGAGCGACTGTCCCTCAAAATACCCACAACTCTGATTGGATTGCAGTACGATTGAGCTCTAATACATAAATACTCTAATATAGGATAATTCTCCGAATATTTGACGTTGTGGTAAATTCTAGAGGTGTGTTATATATTACCATTGAAGAGAGCTGTAGTACTCCGGCAGATGAGAGGCTTCACCACACACACACCCTGTATCTACAAAAGAGCTCTGGTAATTTATGTATTGTTCTGTAGCACACACGTGGGTTAACGGGTATTATTCTGGTGCACGGAGAGGAGATCGCACTGTAGATTTCCTCTCAGCTATAGTGTGTGTCTCCTCTCTTTGTTTGGCAAATGTTGTTCGTTGGTTTGATATTGTTGGCGTTCGGCTCCCTGATGGTATATGGGGTAGTTCTTCTTAAGATGAAACGTAGAAGGTACAAGCATCTCCCGATGCCTCCTTTGTCTAGGTAACATTGTTACAAGCGTTTGTTATTTATATGGTAAAAATCGACTTAACCGTAATGACAATATAAGAGCTAAAGCATATTTGAAACCGGATTGGTGAACAATCTACGGAATCTGAACAGTTTAGGTTTAATATTTCAACATAAGTTGATTGGTTAATCACTTCCCCACTACTATAGTTTTTAAAAAGCGCATCATATAGTGGGCCACTATGATGTTTGTCCTATTTAAAAACAGAAACGAGAATACGATTAAATTTAATCTTAATGAACCATAAAAATAAGATTTTATTGCAATTTTTTAAAACACAGGAATATGTGATATATAATATTAATAACACGTGATATATGCAATATATATTATCAATATATAATATTTTTGCCGTGTGTGCCCTCACACGAAGGGTAATTTCAGTTTTATTGGCGGTCACTTTCCTGTAATCAAGGAAGCTACGAAACAGGACGGACATATGTTTAATCTCTATCTCAAATGGACGGAGAATTATGGCCTTATTTGGTGTCGGTTTCTATTTTGGAAAGCAGGTATTTATAACTTTTAGTTGATTTGACCAGTCACATGACAATTTAATTGCAAAAATTTAGGAATATGTGGTGAAGTCACGTCATGATAACGTGCCATTTCTCTTGCAGGAGTGGTAGTGCTTTCGGTGGACGGGATCAAAGATATGTTCATCACTAACGGTGGACTGTATAAGGTTCAGAAATCTAGTCTGACTTACTTTGGTGGACAGCGGTTCACGGGGTATGGTGGTCTCCTGAATAATGTGGGTGGAGACGTTTGGAGAAGGAAGCGGCATGCGCTGGACCCTGCATTTCACAAGAAGTATCTACAGAGTTTGATTCCCAAGATGAATGAAATGACAAGGGCCATGATTGAACAGCTGAAACAAAATACCAATGCAAATGATTTTATAGATATGGATTGGTACATGAAGAAGTCAGCTATTTTGCTCATAGCAAGCATAGGATACGGCATCGACTTGAATAATAGAGAGGACGTATCAATGGAACAAATCCTGGATTCCATGAATGACATGATGGATGGGTTTTTTGGTGAAGCTTTTGATCCATTGTTTTTACATAATCCCATGAACCGTCATCTCACAAGAAAGACGAAAGAAGCGGGATGCCTCCTCCGAAGGCTTGGACATGATGCTTTGAAGCATAGGCGTGATCAAATAAAGCAAAATCTAGAAACTCCTGTTGACCTCTTAGCCCATTCGATCAGAATACAAGAAAACAGTCCGTGGTATTCTGACGAGGAAGTTGTGGACGACTTCGTGACTTTCATCGTGGCAGGATTTGAGACTACTTCCAATGTCATGTCGTTTGTGCTGGCCCTGCTGGCCCGTAATCCAGGAGTATCTGCATGGGCTGCTCAGGAGATGACGGACCTGGTTGAGGGCAAACAATTTCTTGATGAAGACGATCTCTCGGAGATGAGCTACTTGGAGTGCGTCATCAAGGAGGCTATGCGCTTGTACCCAGTAGTATCGCTTGTAAGACGTAGTACTAATGTTGATAGCATTATAGATAAGCATCTGATACCCACAGACACCCAAGTGATGTTCCTTCCCTTCCTTCAAGGCAGGCTAGAGGAGATCTGGTCAGAACCCTTAAGTTTCAAACCTGAACGCTTTTTAAAAACAGAGTCCCTTAAAAAGTTCACTTACATTCCTTTTCTTGTTGGTCCTCGAAAGTGTATCGGTAGTACATTTGCTATGAATGAGATAAAAATTGTTGTGGGTCAAATACTCCAGCATTTTGAACTGAGTGCCCCATCAGATGAAGATATAGAGCCAGAGTTTAGGATCACCTTGGGCCCTAAGGTGGGAACCCGACTTCGACTCCGCGAGAGAGCTACATCTTAAATCTGCTACAGAATGACAGAATCTTGCTTAATTTTTATTTGATATTTCCGCACGGTAATATTTGAACACAGCACCTGCTCCACCGCTCCAAATGAAATATTTATATATTTGTATGTAATCAATAGTAATAGATTTACCAGGTTACGATTTGGGCTTTTATATTTTATTTATGTTATCTTGTCTGATGGTCAAAAACCAAAAGGTTTTCATTTAAAAATGTCTAGTATGACAAAATTTTTACTTACGAAGGATCAGCATTCCTTTTCCGTCGTTTTTGTAATTTGTATACCCATGTTCTATGAAAAGACCGAACACGTGGTCGCAGTAATGTGAATTTTCGCGGTTTACGCCCACTAAACTGTTAAGGACCAACGTGATTATGTTACTAGGCACCTGGTGCTTGTGGAACTAATAAAATATCAATTGATCGACACCGCAGACCCTCATTGATCGCGTCTCTCGTACAAAATTTTGCCGTTAATATAGTTATTAGTTATCGGAATTATATTAGGTAATCTTGCAAATATTGTATAGTTTCATGAAACGTTCAACTTTGTTGTCTTAACTTTTATAATTGTGATGGAGGTACAATCAGAGGACATATTGCGGTGAGAGCTTCTAATCACGTGACTCGTGCTCCACAGCCCATTACCCTATCATGTGATCAGTAACAGAGTATCGATTGGGGCAGACTGAGCTACTCTAATTAGTTTTTAGGGTGAATTCGTGCAGGAATCAGAAATAATTTGTTGTTTCGAAATTATTATTAAATTTATTCTTTGTCGCTGGCTGTTGGAGCTAATGATTAAACCTTTTCAAAAGTTTTTGTACGACAAACACTAGCCGAAATACGTTATAATTTGTGCTTTTCAACGTAATACAAATAAAAGTACATCATAGATGATTTGGATTTATTTCAACGTTTGTCAGCTCGCTCCACATATTTCACTAAGGCGCATCAGGACATTGATACTTGTGGCTTACAGAACTTGTGGAAGCCTCGAGCTGTAATAACAAAACAGAGTTTTCAGCAGAAAATGTTTCAAAACCAACTTATAAGAAAGTTATGTCAAAATTGGTGTTAAATATAATATGTACAAAGAAATGAACCTCTTAGTCAGAGAAACTATGAGAATGATGAAATATATGTAGGAGTTGAGGAACTCTCTTATTCGGTCACAAAATTCAAAATGTTTGGTTGTCAAAGCTGCAGAGTGAACTTCTTGAAACCTAATCAAAGCAGTTTGAATCTGTTCAGACCACCATGAAATCTATCGTTCGGGATACTTCACTAGGATCAAGCTGTTTCAAAAGCCTTGCCGGAAAACGGACTGACAGAAAAGAGCTACAGATTGAAAAGGATTGTTCAGAGTGTTGTTTCGAAAGACGATCGCAGTAGGAACTTACTCATCTTTGGTCTGAAGGAGACGGACGTGAAAGGAAACTAAAATAAGACGAACTGTTTGAACAGATAGAAGTGTAACCTGACAGCTTTAAAGCTGTCAGGATTGGAAGGAAATCAGCCGATAAGACCAGACCTGTCAAAATATCGTTATCAAATTCCAATACTGTTCATCAAATATTCTTGAAATCAAAGGACCTGAGACTGAGTCAGCACCACAAAATGGTGTACATTTCTCCAGATCGGTCACCCGAATCTCGATCAGTCACCTGAATAATGCACCATCGGCAATATATTATCAAGCTGGATCGAAATCCCTCAACAAATTAAGATGAAGTCACTTTAGTCACTTATACACACTATCTAAATCTTATATTGTTAAATTTAAAAGTTATGATATTGAAAACTCTACTTCGATAATGCTCATGACCAGCTCAAGTAACCCCAGCCATCCTGCCCAATGCCCATCTTATTGTAAATCCTTCTACGAGAATGAATGAAGGTATATATGTTCTGAATTGTCAGGAAACTCAGTGTAAGATGATACGTAAAACACCTTGTAAGTCGAACTCAATTGTCGTGTTAAACACAACGTGATCGTATGTATAAGGTAATGTTACATCAGTATAATATGCTGCGCTTTCGAATAATCCACCTGAGAATACTCCCTAACCTTAACTCCTCATAGATAGGTATACTGCCAATAAATCGTACCCTTGAGTAAGGATCGATTACTGTAAAAGCTCACTATGAAAAATATTGGTTCGAATAAATCAAAATAGTATACGGCGACGCCCCCTGCAGTCAATGAGTGACTGCAGTAATCAATATATGCAAAATAGGCTTCAATAGCATGTATACCTGTATACATATATTGATATCTGGGGATATCTGCGTTTACAAAATAACATAGTCAAAAGGGATGATTGCTCTAATGGAGGAATTAAAAGCATGAACTTTCAAAATTTGAAGTGCCATCCTGATTCTTCTACCCGTTGACATTTCGTCCTACCTTAATGCCAACTGTAACAGTCCGTCACCAAATGAAATTACTTTAATTTGATTTTCTTGACATTAAACTCTCCTACGTCAAGTCTGGACTTGCAATAAAGCAATAACTCAATAAGGACATTTGGACGTGTACTCTGAAGAGCAGGACAGCAATCATATCCAGGAAATATTAGTGTCAATATTAGCATACATGTGCTCATTGTACTGTAAGTAAAAGCATGCACATGCGCTACATCATTATCTTATACCATTCTTATAGAGGCTGGTGAACTCTATTAAACCCGATTGAACTTTGTTGAACCCTCTTTAGGGAGATTATTGGACTCTCCCCTTGATGCCGGCTCACCTCCTCAAGGTATGTGGCACAGCTCGGTATAACGTCACGACGAGGAGTGGTTATTATATCTGGTTTATTTGTCTAAAATTTCTTTGTACTAATTCGATGTTGAACTTAACAATCACTGCATTTTATATACGACAACCAATTTCTACGTATTGTTCAATATTCTTATGGGAAAATTTTGTTCCCATGAATAAATATCTTTGTCAGACAGAATTAGTTCTACTGATTTTCTACTTAGCGCTCTTCATTAGTGATTATGTTAGTGATTATGTCAGCCATTAAGCCATCATCAGTTTGATAACAGTTTCAATATTATTGTGCTTTGAATTTCTTTAATACCTCATATTCTTGTTAAGATATTCCGGAATTGATGATAAACTCATATCTATGATAAACTAAATACATATTACGGATAGATGATCAGCATTGTCGAGAAGAAAATAAATTTAATTCATTAGACTTATCGTGTTCATTTGTTCATTAAAATCCATTCGTGATGATTGCAAGGTTAAAGTGGTTTTCTAATGTTTTTTAACCGCACCGATCTAAAAGTTGACGACTAAGGAAGTGATGATGACCCTAGACTGTGATTTCAGTAAAAATCACAGTCTAAATTTTGTGCAGGCTATTAACTTTAAGCTATTAATTAAGCTATTAATTATCCGCTGACTTTACAGGAAATGCCACTAATAGCCCCAGCAGCCATCTCTTATACATATCGTTATTGGTTCTGTCACGAATTTTCTCATGATAACGTCGGCTTAAAAACCGCTTAATTCATGCACGTGCAAATCATGGTCTTAAGCTTTGTGTTTTTTCTCGTTGGTTTTACTTTCAGCGTCTGGCAAGGTTTTCACTGCAGCATGTGACTCGTAAATTAGGTTGAGCTTATAAATTGCAAATCTAATTTAGCTTGCACACTAATCATCTTCACAATTTTGGTCGATTAGTTTGACTAGTTTGTAAGTTGGTCGATTAGTTTGACTAGTTGGTAAGTTGGTCGATTAGTTTGACTAGTTGGTAAGTTGGTCGATTAGTTTGACTAGTTGGTAAGTTGGTCGATTAGTGTGACTAGTTGGTAAGTTGGTCGATTAGTTTGACTAGTTGGTAAGTTGGTCGATTAGTTTGACTAGTTGGTAAGTTGGTCGATTAGTTTGACTAGTTGGTAAGTTGGTCGATTAGTTTGACGAGTTGGTAAGTTGGTCGATTAGTTTGACTAGTTGGTAAGTTGGTCGATTAGTTTGACTAGTTGGTAAGTTGGTCGATTAGTTTGACTAGTTGGTAAGTTGGTCGATTAGTTTGACTAGTTGGTAAGTTGGTCGATTAGTTTGACTAGTTGGTAAGTTGGTCGATTAGTTTGACTAGTTGGTAAGTTGGTCGATTAGTTTGACTAGTTGGTAAGTTGCACATATGCTTTTAATGTAACTTCCATGCGTTATTTCAATGTATAATTTTACAAAAGTAAATAGCTTTATTCATATTGCCATGTTCAAAGGTGTCTGCGAGCATTTTAATTGTTTTTAAAGTGGTTTCACCAGCTTTTTCATTGTCCCACAATCCAGTATACACTGCTTCCCATCGAATAAAGTCACCTTTACTTCTTAAACCTTACACAAATTACACGATGTTACGCCCTATGTGTGGTCACGAATACCACTCCTAATATACAACCCCAGTACACTGAGCTAATTTATGGTGAGTAAAGACGAATGAGTGAGTCGTGAGATTTGTACAAAAGTCTGACTCTCGTAATCTTTGTTAATGTGATTATGCAAACTAACTGTTGTGATTTTGCAGTTCAAGCTCATTTGTTGGCATGATCTTAAATATTTGTGCTGAAACTTCCTATGAAAGTTCTAGGTTACTGAATTTTGCGGTTTAACATTATCGAGCAATGAGTGGTCGCCAGTATCCTAGATTTCCTGGAGTACGTCGTAGTTTCTTAAGCTCTTAACGTCTTAAGAATGCCAAGTATTATACTCGTGACCTCATCAAGTGCTGTTGTATCATTTAACCGCTTGTTAAGTGCTATAAGCAGTTAAGTTTTTCATGAATAGCCTTCGATTTGTAGATATTGCGCGGTTTCAGGTTAACAAACGAGCTTCTAATCTTTGTACTATCTAACAAAACGCTATGCAAATTACAAAATCGCAAACTACGAAGCAGTCTTTAACAATCACAGACCGAACCATTACAATTTATAGATTATAACAGTCATTATAAATTGATTTAATAGAAATAGGACAGCACCTGGCGACTGTAAGTTAGTGAATGATCTCTATATCTCAATCCCATCCTACTGTCCACTTGGACACTCCACAAATTGACCAAAACCACTGAGCATTACTAATTGAGATAATTTTACCAAGACGGCTCCTTTGCTGTCTCTCCACCTAAATAAATTCATATCTTTAATCTTTAAAGGTTTGGGTAGATTTGACACGCTAGGTCGCTAGTAACTTGATAATCTTACTATATATAAACTTATAAAGCGAGACGATACAAGGTTTACGATACAAGGTTTACGATATATATGTATATATATATATCGTAAACCTTTTATAAAGAATATATGTACAATAATTAAAGAAGGTTCACGCCTCGTTGATCTTGATCCAAGGAAAAGTATTTGACTGATTTCATATCAAAGTTCACACTTATTAATGTATTAATGCTGACCAGCTGTCCTGGCACCTGCTTGATTAAGGTCTCCGTTTTGTACTGCTTTCTCATCCGTTCGTCATAATATTATAATTAGAGTCATGACATTTATAATTATATACCTTACTCGCTATGATTTTACTCGTTATTTTAATTTATCTGATTTTATTACTCGTAATTAAGATAAATCATTCGTCGCATCATTGCGTTCAGCAGCTGATCAGCTGCTAGTTGAAATTGATAAGTTTCAACACTTAGAGTTAGACGTAGTGACCTTACTAGATAACTTGAATATATTATGCTTGTCTTACAGAGTAGGGACTCCTTCCCCTTATACTTATTTTTTAGTTTCCTCCAGCCTCCTTATGGAATATCACTCAATAATTGACAACCTGGTATTCGTTAATTGATGGTCGCTTAAGGCACATTTAGCAAACTCGTATCATTATCAACTATCGACGGGTAACCAGGTTCCCAACAAATTTTCTAAACGTTACATTTCATAGGATGGTGTCAAACTACACCGTTCCACTGTCCGCGGAGAAGATACTGACCCACCAGACAGTTCGAGCAGTTACCCTGGTGTTCCTGGTGATCTGTACTCCCGTTACTATACTCCTCAACATTGTGGTCCTTGTAGCTTGCAAACGGTAAATAACAGTTCTACTTTTTACATACTTTAAGTAGGCGTTACTTATTGCCTTTATTAAAGAAGCCAAAGTTACATAGCTCTATAAGTCCATTGAGCCATCAAACAACTGCAATTATAAAATAGCAGACCCTAATTGCTATCCTGTTAAAAGCAATACGCTAAAACATACACGATTTCAGGTTAAAAAGAGTACAAGCCCACTACCTGGTAATGAACACAGCAATAGCAGATCTCTTTGTAGGACTGGTCAGCAACGTTATCCTGATAGCAGGCATCTCCACGTGTCTCCACACTAACAAATACCACGACCTCTCGGAAATGTGGGAGATCCCCTGTCACTTTGTGGGACCTCTCTCCACCATGTTCGTGTACGCTTCCTACATGACACTGTCCTGTATCGCTCTGGACCGGTGTCTGGTTGTGATTTACGGTGCAAGATACAAGAGAAAAGTAACCAGGAATGTTATCAAGATAGAGGTTGTGATGTCGTGGGTTTCCTCTGTTTTGCTTGCTTTTCTCGGCCCACAAGTGTTCGGTTTGACTAAAATCATCTACTCGTTTCACCCTCCAGAGTCCATGTGTGTGGTGGTGATAGCGGAGGAGGTTGAGAACGACACCATGCACAGACCAGGTCCTCAGGTCCACACAACCATCCGGGACTCTAACTTCTCCATCATGGAGTCCATACTGTCCATGTACTTACCCTTCATTATACTTGTGACGTCATCAGTGGTCCTGATAATCCTCCTCCAGATAAGAGAGACAGGGAAACGTTCAGCTATAGTGAGGAGGAGTTGTCAGACTGTGTTGTTGATTGTGGGAGGATACTTGGTGTGTTCCACTCCCTACGCTCTTACCCCACTACACGCTAAGATTTCACCAGAAATGTACCTTGTTTTTAGGTTTCTACTTCAGGTACATTGTATGTTTACACCTATTATCTACATCTTGCGGGACACAAGCTTCAGGAGGGTGATGACTATTAGAAATAAGAAAGGTAACCCCACTAAGTTGTCCCTTATCATTACTTTTATGAGGGACCGTAGTCCAATGAACAAGGTTTCATTTCACTTGAACAGGCAGAGTTCGTAATGAAAAAGAACAAGTATTTCTTCAGAGAAGTATTTATGTCAATTTTAACTAACTGAAATAAAGGATTTTGGTGGCAAAGATTGTGAGCAAGTTGTACGTCTAATTTATAAGCATGTACACTGTACATTGTAAACTGTACACTGTGCATTGTACACTGTACATGCTACATTATTTATGCTACAGGCAGAAAGCACGTAATTTGTTGAATGACCCTTCAACTTTTTTCCAATTATTATTCGAATGTAAAAGTAGTTGGACGTGGGTGTAAATCGAGTTGTCACTGTCCCTCATTGTAATATCACGTGTTTGCGAAGATAATAATCTTTCCATACTGACGATCTATATCAACCTCCTTGATATATTCCATATTTGTTTCCTAACCACCTTCTTTCTTTAAATTGATAATTAGAGTTTTCAAAAATTAACAATTCTGTCCATTCTAACTAAATTGAAATGATATGATAAATGAAAATTCACAACAACATCGCATTCCCATGAAATACGGCAAATAAACCTCAATCAAGCACATAATTCATGCTCCAATCTGTATATAAAATAACTATCCCTGTGTTAAAGCATAAGCTGGCACAATTTCCTCATTTCTATCGTTCTTATTCGCCACCTTTTCTGATTTCACATCAATCTCTACTGTAGGCAACTTAACAAGTTTATCTTGACAGCTTATCTACTTTATAGCTTTGACTTTCTTCTTAAACGACGTGTTGGGCATATACCTTTCATTTTCGGACAATCGATGTTTTTCAACCCCTGATCACTTCTTTTCCAGATCGATCTTGGTGTCGATTGATATGCAGCGGCCTGCGGGCAAGAAAGAGGGATCCGCTTTTTGGAACTTTTTCAGGACCTGAATATTTGTTGAGTTATAAAAGTAGCTTAATTTTGATTCTCTTTTGGTATTATGATTATGTCTGACGTGTATTAACTCTAGAAACCATCATGGAGGAAAAGTACTATTATTCCACTTCCAACTTAACAAGCGTGATTGAAAGTACAATTAGTACGTTGGAAGTGAAACTGAAAATCAGGTCCAAACATATGGACTTTCTCGTTCAGAGATTAGAGTTCGGAGTTCAAACAAACCTCATTTTCCACGGCAGAAAATCGACCATCGTGCTCTTGGAGGTAGTAAAAGAAGGTAACATAGGACCAGATATTGTGTTCCCTCTCCACGTGATTGGACCAGGACACACCACGTGTAGTGAGAGAATCTTTAGAGAGGCCACAAATTGTACACAAGGTAGTCATGTCTTTTAGCGCTCGTTCTCGCTCAGCCTGGAGTCATTTTAGTCGTTCAGTTTAAAGAATAAAGAGGCAATTCTGTCTGAGCACAATGTGTCGTTAGTTCCCGTAAATAGTATGTGATAAACAGATTTATTCCCTCATTTGGTATTTTTAAAGGTTCCCTGTTTAGTTTCTGTCAAACTGAACTATATAAATAGAACCGCCACTATAAATAGAACCTTCGTGGAATTATTTGAGGATTTTCAGTAAATATATATATTTTTTTTTAAGAGAGGCTGGGCCAAGATAGCCCACGAGAGGATAGCATTGAGATGCTCTGCCTACCTCTGGGGTGTGGCAACCTTGGGGAAGGTTGCCGGTGAAATCAGAGTGATTGGTGGAGGATGGTGTAAGATGATATATGAGTCAAAATGATACGCTTAAATGCCAGCTGGGTTTGGAAAAGTAAAACGAGACGAGACAGCATATGAGATAATACTTTAAGTCACCCCGGTCTGATCCAGCTCTTCCGGCACAATTAAGCGTTTGGTGCGGTTTGCGAAATTGACAATTGTGGTGATGTGTTGGTTGTCGAATATGTCATTGACAGAGAGGTAGTAGTCCTGGAAATATTGACCTCTAATTTGGGCAATAGCTGGACACTGTCCAAGGAAGTGTGAGACAGTTTCCTCTCCGTCGCCGCACATAGGACAAGCACTGGTGTTTGATTTGCAAATGGTGTGAAGGTGTTTGTTTAAGCCGCAGTGACCCGTGATGAGGTGAACTGCAGTTCTGTAATCTTGTCTGTTTTTGCTGAGTGTAGTGTTGAGGTTTTTGATGATTTTGGCATGCTTGTGGCCGATTGTCAGTTTGGTGTGTCTGGGACCGTCAGTTAACCAAGTTTCCTGATTCAGTCTGTTGACTTTGTTGTCGATTTGACGCTTGATGTAGGATTGTGGAATTGGACACTTCAAAGTGGATTCACTGGTTGTACCAAGCTTGGCCAGCTCATCTGCTTTTTGTTGTGACGGTGAAGTGCCGTCCCAGCATCATGGTTGGTGTTGTTAGGTCTCTCGTTGCTCTAGGTGGGATAATGAGGTCTGCCATGAATTGTTTGTTGATAGTGGTATGATTTTTGATAGTTCCCTTCCTGAAGGCGATAGTTTCAAGAGTGAGGCTGCCATAAGCTTGTAGCCTGGCCGCACCCTTTGCTGCTTCGCCTTGCAGGAACAGTATGATGTCAGAAGTGTCGGTGAGGTGATTCAATGCGATAAAAGGTGTGCTTGGTCATTTTAGTCGTTCAGTTTAAAGAATAAAGAGGCAATTCTGTCTGAGCACAATGTGTCGTTAGTTCCCGTAAATAGTATGTGATAAACAGATTTATTCCCTCATTTGGTATTTTTAAAGGTTCCCTGTTTAGTTTCTGTCAAACTGAACTATATAAATAGAACCGCCACTATAAATAGAACCTTCGTGGAATTATTTGAGGATTTTCAGTAAATATGTCAGGAAACGTATTAGGCAGAGGACAAATTGAGAGGTATTTAATATTTATACGGTACTGACAAGTTCTTCACCGCACAAGAAGTTTTCATTCTCATAAATTTGCAACACATTAGGCAACGGTTTAGCTTTGACATGAATAATTGACAGACCTTTAGCTGACGAAACCCGTCCAAGATCAAACTGGTCACCACGTTAAGACCAATAACAGTGAATAGGATCCAAAAGCTGGCGTCTATTAGTAAACGCATCCAAAGGTCATCAAATGTCTTCCTGTCTTTCCAACTGAAATGTTTGTTGTGTGACTAAAATGATAAACTTAGAAGATACTATCGTTGAAGATCATATCATGATACCTTCTATCCTCAATTGTTGAAAATACATTTAAACAAAAATTAATTTAATGGTAATCCATATAATAATCATAATTTCAGCGACGTTAATTTATTTGCTTTCATTGGCTTTACATCCCACGAGATAACAACAAACATTCACATACATAACAAGCCCATAAATAATAATTTATGGCATAAACATTAAACATTAAACATTAAACAGCATCCATTAAAAACGTATTTTCCCACAAATGCTACGTAACAACATATATCATTCTTTGAAATACTACAACAGCTATAGCTAGGTACAGTTAGGCTATGCTTCGTATAAATCTAAATACTGGCGGGAAGGTGAACTATATTTGTTTTGACACGTGACAGTGATCTTGTGTTTTGATTGGTTAATACCTGTCACGTGTCAGAGCAAAACCGTGGTAACCGTGGTAACCAAGTTTCCCCTCCCAACCAGCACCCGGATCTACAGTACATTTAGTTATAGCTTGGTGCAGTTTGGCTATGCTTGGTTTAGTACCTATAGTTATGACCGCCTGCCGAAGGTCGCAACGAGTTCTTCAGCACTGTAACAAGACAACGACCTAGTGTATCGCAATACTCCATTTTTGTATTGTCAAACATTTTCCGGAAGGCACCAAAGTATATAATGGCGTAAATGTAGGCAATAATGGCTGCGAAAGGAACGCACACCTGAAAGATACAGGGTAAAGGTGATTAGAAGAGAGAAGGGGAGATCAGCAGTGCAGCACCAACCTATAGTTGTGGCCTCCCCCGGCCGGCTGGAGGGATTTGTGCAGCACTGTTATCAAGCATTGGAATGTGGTGGTGCAATACTCCATCTCCTCTTCATCAAAGATGTCCCGCACTGTTACCGTGTATAGAACGGCATATGCATACGTGACAAAAATCGCAAAAGGAAAGCAGAACTGAAATAGGATTTAGCGCTGAAGCTTGAGTGCTTTAGAAAGCTGTGTGGTGCATGTGCAGTGTGTGCTTGGGGAAAGTGCAGCGGGAATGTAGTTACATTTCGTTGCGCAGTATTAGAATATGTTTTCTTTAAAATTTGAAATTGATTGTGTACTTTTAAATTGTAAAATTAAAATTAGTAAATTATGGTACTCAAGTAAGTAATATTTTAGATACCAAAAGCTGGTCGGCATGGGTGGTTGCTCCACGAATGACCCTTCCGAGTAAGTCAAACAGAGTAGCAATGTGGAACAAGTGGAAACAGTACGCAATACCATCTGACCTGAAATTAGTAATAGTTCAGCTTTAGATAAACAACAGAATAATGTTATAACTATATTAATTCTCAATTTGAAAGTTACATTAAAAATGCAATAAATGGAAAGTATATTTACCATATGCCTAAACAACTGCAGATAAGAAGTGCAAGTAGGTAAAAGTGGTAGAAGGAATGCCACTGGATATTCATCCTTTTGTTTGGGTTAAACTTGAGCGAGATTCTGTGGTAGTTGGAGAGTACGTAGCTTAAGGTTAGGAATATGCAGGCAAACAAATGTACGGTTCCTGGGTGGGATCAGGTTTGATTTTCTTAGTTATTTAACATTTTTCAATCTGAAATAAATGATTGGGCGAGTCTTGTCCGACAGCGACTCTTATCCAAATCCGAAGTTAGGTTTTTCGGCCAATATTTGCTGTCGGATCCTTCTATATTATTTCATTTAAAAGTTCAAGATAGTAAAATGGCTATAAGACACTGTTCTTACTCCGTAACAATCTCTGCTATATTAGCTCTCCCACAAACATCACCTTACCTAAACACACTATCGTGAAGTAGAAGCCCTCCGAAGGACAAACCCCAACGTAGGATTCCTTTCCGCCATTTCTCTTATTATCATAACACTGAACAAGATGCGGAGGTACAGTCTCCAGGTAAGTTTCATTTCTAACCCCGTCTGGGGTAATCCCGTTTGGGGTAACCACCCAGTCAACGTCCACCCATTCTTTCAGGAGCCACAGCTGAGTAAACATTGCCTTCAATCTTCCGTGTTAATTCGTGTGGATTATTCAATATTCATGTTACATAGATACGGTAACTAAATTATTCTAAATTGAAAGAGAATGTTATATACCTTAATTCGCATATTCATGGCGTGTAATATTGTGGTGGGTAAAAATAATGGCGGGTTTTTTCCGAAAAACCGCCAAATTAACCCGCCATAATTAAACGAACTGAGGCAGCTTGCACGGTTTAATCTTATTTACACATCTTGCCAGATACCTGGACTACAAGAGCTATGAGGAAGACGAGCCAATCCCACCAGATCTCATGGGCCATGACCCAACTGATAAAAGGTACGGACATGAAGTAACGCTGGTGAGCCACGTCTTCTACAATCTGATAAAGAGAGATTTGTTAACTTTCGGTGGTTTTAAATTTCGTAGAATTTATTTGAATCACATATAATTAAAATTTCAGGTCTTTATCAATCTGATATAGGATTTAAGGCTGACCTCTTGGCTCCAGATGAGAAAATCTCGTTGTTTGTCAAACTTCGATTTTCTATCAATACCCCACTTAAGTTCCTCCCGTATTTTGTTCCTGACTTGGCCACTCTTTGGTATTGGATAGTATACCTTCTCCAGATGTCCCTTCCATTGAACTTCAACGCTTCCAACCTGTTGTAATATCATGAAGCCACTCATGGTTTAAAACAGTTGTTTCTTATACTCCACTTGAGATGGTAAAAATCGAAAGAGCTCACTTCATATTTAACCGTACTATGTCTACTTAAGGCAAGCTTGATATCGCTATTCACAATAAAAATCTCGTCTAGATGTTGATTTGTAACCTTTAGTTTTTGAGATATCTCCTCGTCTAACTTCCCTACATAATCCTTCTTCTCCAAAGCACTAATCTTCTTGAGTAAGGCATAACCCTTGAAAGCAGCTGTCTGAGCCTTCTCGCCTCCCTCCGTACCCAGTAATCCAAGATGGCTGTTTATTTCACTTTGGAGTGTGTAAATGTCTAGCTCCTCTCTTACCTAAAAATATAAAATAATTGTTTGTCAATATTCTCTGCAGCGAGAAAATTCTTTCGGGTTTTCCAGACGTTATTATTTGTGCATGCATATAACATTTCAAGTTTTCTTGCAAACCTTGTCGTAGAATTCAGAGAGCATGTTGGATTGTTCAACAAGTGTTGATAAGAGTGCATAGGCGTTTGCTTTTATTTCTTGGGCATTTTCGAAGTCGTTAGCTGAAAATTTGACAGTTAAAATCATACCATACATTTAGCTAAGGGTTAACTAAATGATCTATGCCGTTCAAGTACCGGTTAAATCTTGATTTTATTTAATTTGGTAGATTTTAGTTACCCTTGTTTTAATTTTTAATGCTAGATATCACAGTTCACTTCCCCTAACAAGCATTTGAAAGTAACCTGGTGCCTCTGCAGCAATGATGGTGTTCAATATCTCTACTATATCGTTTTCAATAGCAGTTTCTTTCGCCGCATCATTAGCCGATATCATGGAATTGATCGCTTTCATGGTATCCATGAGGAGTTCCCCCGATCTCACGCAGTGAAGGAGTCTGATCAACATAACCAGGAAGTTATGAGATACCAACTTGTTGTCTTGGAGTCGCAGATAGTTCTGAATTATGGGCGTTAATTGAGTATTGTGGTTGAGTATCGCGGTGATTTCAAAACGCTGTGAAGTATTTAATCTACATAACGGCAACCTCCTTATTTAAATTACACTTACCTGCATCTCAGTATATTGGCCCTCACACATTGCACCGATCAGTTGAATGGACAGTCTGATAATTGGGGTGGAGGATACTATCCCGATATCATCTGTCATGCCGTCAACTCCTGCTCTGTCCCGCATGGCTTGTATCATGCTCAACTGGTTGTTACCTGAACAGTCCATTTGTTACTTTCATGTGTATTGTGTACGTATAGAATCCCCAAAATTTCTTACTGACATCATTAATTTACTTTTAGGGTTCCTTGTTGGTTATAGTATTGCTCTTAAGGTCAAGTTTTAGGATCAGAGTCGGTGCAATTGAGGGTGTCAGAATTTCTGATGAAATGTCGAGAAATTATTTTTCGAACACTCGATTGATACAGCAAAAGCAGCAAACAGAACACTTCAAATATAAAGGGAAATAAATTGAGCTTGATTAAAGGAAACAGCTAAACATTCCTGAGGATTTTCACAGATAATAGAGGTTTATTTCAAAGAACCACACTCGACCATGGTCTGTCATTGTGGATTTGAGTCAGGTACTTCATGGATAATACTGATAAACACTATAGCTAAGTACAAATCAGAAAATAACGCAAAGAAGGCGAACAATCTACTTCTAATAACGGCTTGTCGCCAATTAGTTTTATATTCTGCCTTTAAAGAGGAAATTGAAACCTTTCTGCTTCAGAATTCAACAAAGACAGATTTAACCAAAGCCGATCTTATCGTATTGAAGATTTTGACGATGAAAAGATCAAGATCAAAATAATTAAAGTTATTATTACACGCAGTGTAACTTACTGTAAAATACTTCTATCTCTGTAACATTGAATTAATTTATTTAAACTTATGTCAATAATTTTCATCCCACGCGTTAAATCATGCAATAAGATATACAGTATACCTAGCAAAACATTACAATACCATTACTGTTACATTTTTACGCTCTGAATCCAAAAGTGAACAATTCTGCAAACAACAACTGCATAACAGTATCTTTTAGCAGAACGGTCTATTCTTGCAGTCATGATCATCTCAATTAAAGTCTATCTGAAAGCCTCACCTTCAATAGCAGCCACAATGTTCTCCGAGACCCATTCAAACAATGGTTCGTCCGTCTTCTGACAATATTCCCTTAACCTGGGGATGGGTGCAGTAACATCACTGTCGTACGTTTAGGACATAAAAACGGGCTCAATCAATTTTGGTAATTTTTCATCTTCATTTTTTCTGAACAATAGTTACTCAGAATATTTAATTGTTCGGCTACGATGGCCGGCTTTTTGGCGCCTGACACGGCTAAATCGGCTTTAGTACTTGTTCTTTTCATTTGTTTGGTCACTTGAATAGTTTGATCATTAGTATTTCTCGAACCCTGAGACGATCCTATTAATATTTGAAGGCTAACAATTCACCATGTATTACGCCAGCTATTTCAATTGTAGTGGTGTATTAAACGCAAATGTAACGTAATGCGTGGACATTATTTAATTTTATGAACATAAATATCGCATGCCAAATGTCAATGCCAAGCATATAGAAAAGAATCGCAAAATTATTTAGACATTTTAACCATTCCTGATAGACACTTACTGAAATAAATTTGGAAGGTAAAGTTATAAGCATTCTCATATACATGGAAATTTACATATAGAAATCTACACATAGAAGATAAGATCGCGTTCAAGAGAGTTACGAGTAACATATCGGCGCTCATGCAAAGAAAGTTTTCCCAAACCTTGCCTTGCATACACCTCCTTTTCTCCCATGTTCTAATAAGCATCTAGAAAAGTTGGTATGATATCATTCACAGAAACTGAGCGGAATAATGCAGAAACACAACGTTAGATTCTGCTTTCCCCACATAAACAAACACCGGACCACGTGACAAACCTGTTTTTAGTGGTGGGGATCTGGAGCAGAGAGAGAAGACACTCCGTCACTGCCTCTTGGATGTGGTCGTTCTCACAGGAGGACATGAGACTTCCCAGTGCTTCTGTCAGACCAAGGTGGAGGAGGGAGGTGGCTGGGGAACACTGTGGAGTGTAGGTCATGTGACCACGTTTATAGACCATGTAAAGAAATATTTTACGTGTTTTGTTGCAGATCGAGTAAACATACAGGTAGGAAAGTGACAATCATAGATTTGTAAGCGTTTCATAGCTTGGTTATACTTATATCTTGAATCTCATTCATTCTCTCTTCAGCTTTACAATGTTCATAGCAACTAGCGTGTGACAAGAGATCACCATGGTGACAAGAAATCACCATGTCCCATGTGATCCAACATTTAAAAAAATAAACTAGCGATTGATCTACCAGTACCAGTAATCATGTCAACATTAATTGTCAAATTCAATCTGAGATTTGATTATTTCATCTGCATACATACTATTATAATAGTAACTCGGTTTACTGGTGGATCAATATGAATAACATTGATCGTGTGATTTAACTGTGCAACATGCATCCAACATTCATTAGGTTAACATTTAAATAATGAATATAAATCACCCATAACAAATCGAGCGGAGACTTCCTTTTCCCACATATATCTTGATCAGAAACTGGCCACATGAATTAGTAAGAAGTAAGAACATTGATAATATTTACTTCACGACAGTGCACCCGCAACCAGTTAGTATTCACGACGTGGCTGGCCCCCTATAATTTGACCTCCGTAAACAGCAGCGTTTAGCGTATGCTAATTAGCATATTAGCAGATTATGCTAATTAGCTGTTATTATGCTGATTAGCAGCTACATGAACTCACGGCTATTTTGAATTTCCCTTTGCTCGTTGGCATGTCGTTTAATTCCTTGTTCAAATCCTTGATATTCTTCATTAAAACAACGTTTTCAATTCAGACATTTTCATCGTTTTGCTCAACATCAAATTCACAAGGTACTATCTTGGTAACAAGAAAGATCAAAACATTAAAAGTTCTTACCCTGGTCCGGTTACTATCCTCCGCCAGAGCAGCGAACACGTTAATAAGTCTGATGGTGGTGTAGTCGGAGCACTCCTCATTCTCAACCTTACTTATTATCTTAGTCAGCTGTGGTACTGGCTCGTGGGTATCGAAATCGTCCTCCTGGAGGCAGATTTATTAAGAGAACCGTTTTGTTGCACTGTAATATTGGGGTGTTAATTATGAGAGCGAATATTGAATCAGTAGCCAGACCTAATGGACACGTAGCACTGATGGGAGCTCTATTGGAAAGTATTCTATGTGCTGCACTATTAACTAACCTCATCGTCACAGAATGGTGCGAAGTTAGTAAGGGCGTCTGCTTTCCCTGACTCTTCTGCCTCTTCAAACATAATACCTCCAAGTCCCTTAACTTCCTCACTCATCTTTACACTCTTACCCTCCTTCTGCTTCTCCGTGATCTGTCAGAAGGATGTAAATGAGACACTTTGTAAAATGAAATGCCGTTTCGAAGCAATCTGAAACAGCCGAAAGTGTGTCATGATAATTTCAATAAGTATTAAGTACTCATGTACCTGTATCAAAGCTTTGGCTATCTTGTGAAACGCAGTGTTAATGCTTGCTTCCTTGTTTTCTTTCATTATCTTCTTGGTGTAGGCCTCCTTCAGTCTGTAGCCTGTTTTCTTCAGCAGTAGATCCATCACGTCTTGTACTTCTTTATTAAACACCACTGGTTTGTCGACCTACAATGGAGTGATTGTTATAGTGGAAAACATTTTATTTCAATACTCTTTTAAAGAATGCTGAAGAAGGAAACGTAAGCTTTAAGAACTAAGATGTTGATAACATACCATTATCAGGTAGCCAGGAGTTTGAAACTGGTACATTTTGTTGTTCCTATCAGAGAAATAAAAGTCAGTGAGGTCATGAGTATCAATGACGTTCACTGCCTGAACAGCTTCGAAAAGGAGGGTCCACAGCATTTGGTGCAGGAAGGGCGAGACAAACTTCCCAAATTTACAGAGCTGTTTCATCATGTTAAATCTATCCACGTCTTGGAAGGTTTGTAGTACCTGAAAGGAGTCAATTTATGATCTTAGCCCAATATCCGAGTGATTCAATTAATTTTAACTCATAGCTTTAGCCGTTTCGGTGAAATCCCTAAATACTTATATATTTGAGCGTACTGCATGAGTTATTAAACTATTGTCGATATAATTCGACGTGTGTACAGAGATTTGTTCATGATGACTCACCATTTCTTTATCAGAGCTGAATATATTGGTTATTATCGGACAAAGGACAAAGAATATGTAGTCGTAATAACAAACAAGGTCCTTCAGGGCTGCGTCAACGTCGTCTCTACTCGATAGCAGCTTTATCTAAAACAAAATTTATGATCATTGATGTAACAATGCCCCCGACTTGACGGGCAAATGTCCCAACCTCCTCTGCCCTCCTCTTAGTTTTTAAAATTCGTTGTTCATCTTCAATTTTCACTTATCAAGGCCTTTCCATTTACTTTATTTAATGTAAGAAATTATTTCTAAACTGGGTCATTCACAGTGTGCTCCTATTTGATAACGGTGCACTGGTGCAGTGAAACAAATTCTGTAAAAGCAGATGTCTAAGCATTATCCCGCATGACTGCATACCACAATGTCAATAGTGGCATTTCGGGCATAGTCGCTCTTTCCATTCATCTATAAAATAAGGATGAATGGATACATTATAAAGATGCAAATTATGTAGCTCAACCTTAATTTCTATGATTTTTGCGATGCATTCAATAACATCTGTATGGCAACAGTACAGGAATACGGAGAAAATATGCTCTTGTCGACACGGTCTGACTGTCCTAAGTCATCTCATCAATCAATGCATTGATTCGAAACTATCCGAAATATGCGCATACATTATTAATGATAACCCCAAATATTACCTGGGTTCCCAGGTCTCCCAACACGTTGAGATAAGTCATCTTCTGGTTGGTGGTACAACTCCTGAGGTGCTTTGTAACCCTCTCCACCAGCTTTATACCCTCGTTAACATACCAGGACAGGTCATTCCCCAGCAGTTGCTGAACAGTTGGGTTACTAGCAACTTACTTTTGCTTTTTGATCTTTATCTTCTACTTTTGCTTTATCTTCTACTTTTGCTTTTGTTTTAAATATCATTTATTAAGATCGAGTTATTTGATGATGATTCAAGAAAAGATGCATGGGTAAACTCAGATATGCAAGAACTAAGAAGAAAAGAGGTGCATTAAGAATCGTCGATGAATCATACATGCAATATACATTATACATGCTTAACGTTAAATGGGATCATTGCGTCGTAGTTGTTAAAGTGTGATTTGATGTAATCATAATTATTTCTAGGATAACCTTTGCTTAAATAGTTGTTTACTAAATTGTGTCAGCTTATTCAATCAATTGAAATAATTATTAGGGAACCTTTTTTTCAACACATTCACGGCTCATCAAAACCTTGATTTCTAATCAATCAAATTGTTAAATTCTCAATTATGTGTCTTTGCTTCATGCAATATCTTACCAAACACCTATAAACCGCTGTTTTCTTACTCTACATGAGGAGGGAAAGGTAAATAGATAAAAGGAGTTAGTTTCACGACCACGCACACCGGAACATACTACCTTATCGGACATAATTGTCACGGACAAGTTTTTCACGGACCAAATTTTTCACGGACATCATTATTCACGCTCATGCGACCGCCCAAAAATTTCCAAAAAATTGTGAACATTTTTGGTGATTTTTAATAAGTGTTCTACTTTTTAAAAAAACTCTAGAATGCGACTGAGGAGTGATTATGTTTGTCCTAGTATACTAATAAGCTAATATAGTAATCGGCTACACACATATCTAGTATCTACACATATGTAGGGACACACGTGTTATGTCCGTGATAATTATGACCGATAAGGTAGTTTCACGACCGCACACACCATGCTCTATAATATAAACAGTTACTTCTCGCAGTATTATAGAGGGTAAAGATGAGGGAGGTGAGTGGCATATTTAGTTTACACGTGACAGCAAGTATCCAATCGAATCCACTATTAACCACCAAAACCCCAGAATCAATGTCACGTGTCGAAAAATATGCCTCTACACCTCCCAACCAGAATCCACATCTTTACAATCTCACACGAAAATCATGGGCCCTTCTTACCCATTGCAAATGATGCATGTAGAAAAACTCTTCAAGCTTAACGCTACGATTGCTCTGTAACCAAGAGAGCAATAGTAATTGTGTAGTTGTCCAATTGTTCTTAAACATTATGCGTGTACCCGCATATAATACATTTTTATGTTGGATTAGGATACCCTCATGTATCATGAATCATAATGCATAATGAATATTCTTGCACGATAGCTTTTATACCCTATCGGACGTTATTTTCAGTCGTAACTTACATGGTATCAAGATTCTATGAGAAAAGGAAATTCTTTTTACAGAAAAACTTAATAATAGCAGTATAAGAACGTCAGATGGTATTCTTGACTTTTCACCACAACATCAAACCCAAAGTTGCTTTTGTGTTTATAATCCATCATGTAAATGTTGATTATGTTTATAATTCATCATGTAAATGTTGATTAACAAATCAAATTAGTGCTGCACACATTTTACATAGTACATTACAGTACATACGCGCACTAGCGGTAGGCATCGCTATGGTGCAAAAGATGTAAATTTTTAGTTAGTTTAGTGTTCTCAAAGTAAGGTCCATTAAAATAAGGTCCGATAGAGTTAATAGAGTATCTTATTTTAAATAAATCATCCAACTAGAAATCTAAAAGCAAAAGACATACCTGTCTGTCAACTACACTGGTTGATTTGATGTACACGTTCAGTACAAACTTAGACAAGCAGGTGAAGTAGACTATATCGTTCTTAGCTGCTCGTAACAGAGGGAAGATGATGGATAGTGGATATTGCTCCTGGGCACAACAAGTTTGTTATAGCTGCGCGGCTTCAGAAGAGTGAGTTCAAGGATTTGGTTGAGGTTTGTTTTCGCGGTAAAAGCCGTAACGTAATTAGCTGAGAAATATGAATTGTGGGTAACTTACCTTGCAGATGGTTTCGGTTGATTTGGCATCACCAACAACACAACATGCCATCAGAGAAATCATGTGGGTGAAATACAGTCCTTGCCAGCCCCTGACCATGGATAATGTAATTAAAAATAAAGATTGAAAGAACACGTTATGTTCTAGTTCTAAGAGAGCAAAAAGGTATTTTAAAATGAGATCCTGTATTTCACTTTCAGACGACTATAACTTTCAAAAATGTAGCTTTTAATGATATCAGCAGGAAGTCTGTCCTTTAAGCTTTTAAGGAATTTAATTATAACTCTAATTAGGACTCTTATTATAAACTAAATAAACCGTAGCTACTAGCTGATAAGAAGGAGCAAATGCAAGACCACAAAACAGTCAAAGAAAGATCAAATCCCGGAGATAGTAAAAGATCAGATATTCAGACATCAACCTCGTAACATACCTATTCTCCCATTGGCCTATCTCTTGACCACTGCTTTATTAGATATAAGATTAGCGATAAATATTCAGCTATTTTTTAGTTAAGCATTAATTTTGTTTCGTATATCAGCTTCCCAGGAATCATTATGATAGTGTAATGTTAAATGAAACGCCCGCCTCAGCAATAAATACTGCTTAAATACAGCCTTGTGTGCATTACTTCATCTTTTGTTCTGTGTTATTGTTCGTTCCTATTGGCATTGCGTCTAAACCACTTAGACTGCGTGAACAATACATGTTATACTTATAGTGATGTATTCATTGGTCTTGGTACACTGGCTTGGTTCTTCATCTATTATTCCATTTTCATAACCTCAAATTAATACTCTCTCACAGAACGAATTCTGTTACAAAACAACGTGTCTCAATACTTCTGGTGAGACAAAAATGTGACAAAGATTATATTTTTAGCAACAGATACCTTTGACCAGAGAGTAAATCCTCCTTGTTCAGGTTCAAATCATCATAACTTGGGATGTCAATAAGTTCCCCCTTGCAAAGGTTCAGCAGATTCATTTCCACCAGTTGCTCCTCGTCTCCATTCCTTAAGACCAGTCTGCCGTTCAGCTCATTCCAGTACTCTCGGATAAGCCTGCATTGGGAACACGTCTGAGTCTTTCAGCTTCAATTTCGATGTAAATTGACATTCAATTATAATAATTCGGTCGGTCATAATCACAAATATATCAAAATTTACATGGTGCACCGCGTATACTGAATAATGAATATCCCTACTACTCAGTTCCCAAATCTCTAATTAAGTGTAGGTACCTCAGAACGTAAGTTTGATGTTTACACAAGAAGTCAGTTGAGTCCTCCATATCGATCATGTTCTCAATGATGGCCAGGTAGAGGTAACTGAACCTAGCTTTATTGTTTATGTTCTCTGGAGTTCCAGTTACCGCTTCTATGATAACGTGGAACAGGGCTGGGTGCGTTTTGTTTTTAAACAGAGTTATCAGCTTTTCGACGATTTTGAACATGCATCATGAAATACCAAGAATAAGATATGATCTTTAGAATTCTCTCGATGATAATCTAATTTCATTATCTGGAGATTATGGTTGATCACTTTTTATTTTACCTAAAATCTCATCCTCTTGGACGTTCAAACTGAGATTGGTATTATCTGTGAAGATTTCATCTAAAGCGTAAGCCTTAGCCTGTTCAAGTTTCCCTTCTTTATCGATTCCATCTTCATCTTTCACTGTCAGAAGGTCTTTGAAGTATTCCATCACCCGCTCTTGCCCTTGGTCTAAACCAGAGATGACTACCTGAATTTTAATTTGGGTAGTTTATAACGTCGTGTTATAAGATCATCAGACTGAGACTTTGGTTAATTTTCTGCGTATTTGTTATTCCGTCAAGAAATTTGGTTGAGATTATCAGCAATTTCAGAAACTTCGACAACCTTACCTTCAGAAGTCGAAAGCTTTCAATCTTGAGTTGAAGTAATTTTTCGTCCATATAATCATTGGCATCAGTTGGTAAATAGGTGGAAGAGATGGTAATTCTGTTAGCTAGCACTATCCGGATTATCTCTTTCACCGTTCCAAGATCGAACACAAATTTCTGCATCGTCTTGTTTATGCTGTTGTCCTCGTTCAAGCAAGATTCTCTAAGCTTGTTCATCGACAAGATCACTTTCTCTAACAACTTTTCCCTGTCGGAATAACTCGTTTAAATAAAGGTCCTAAATACTTTCATACATTTAAGTCTTGTTTTATCAGTGCGCCAAACACCAATTTTGATATTTGAATATTGAAATAAACAGTTTTGTTAAGCTAAATACCTCTCCCCAGGGCTCAGCAGATAAGTCATTACGATTCTAACGTGCCATCAAAACTTACGTGAGTGGATCGGTGGCTATTTTCCTGATCTGGAGATAGTTCTCAGTGATCTCTTTTCTGGTTTGGAAAGTTTCCTCTGCGATCATGATCCTCGTATTAGGCAGAATTGCCAACAGCTTATGTATTGGTGAAAAAAGATGGACCATCAGCTCTGTTGCTCTGCAAAATGTTGTAAAATTGTGAGATCAACCACTTTCGGATTGAGGATTCCATATGGCATATTATATTAATGATTGTAAATATTACAAGATTAATTACATAAGATTTTATAGGAATTGGTGACCACAGAAATATGCTATATTGTAGTGAGCTTTGTTTTACGAACCTAGTAGTAAGATAATCAGACTCGTAGTTCAGGGTGTCTAATATCACTGTCATTATGTCAGGTGTCTCAGAGAACAGGTAAATGTCACCCAGAAGATCTTCAAGAAACTCTATAAACGCCGATGCGGCAGATGGAGAGATTCCTTTAGAGTTGGACTCGAAATCATCCCTCAAGTTTTCACAAGCTTTCATGTTGAGAGTAGTAGAAACTGCTTCAGTAAGCGTCATTATTGGGAGGACGCCTTGAACAGCACTCGATATATTGGATTTGATCTGGCAGGTGTCCAAAGTTTTGTTCTGACCCTCTGAGGAGGTTTCTGCAAGAGCAGAGTAGAGGGGTGCCATTGTTCTCTCCCAGAAATGTGTCAGACAGTGCCAAAATGCCAGGTGAATTGTTTCCAGTACTCGCTGTTTGATGACATTACATTTTCTGTTTTCTGGTAGATTTCGGAACCTGAAATGTGTCTGTGAGTTAAATGTAAGAATAACCAAGATTTTACCATAACCACAACCACCGCCATAGGGCATTATTTTACGGCTCGATTCATGTTTGTTCATGTTTAGTCAGTATCTTACTCATTTGTCAGTATTTTACTTATTTTATGTTAGATAATGAGGTAATTAGATAATTAAATGATGAGGTAAGGTCCTTACCTGAAAATTCTTCTGAATACATCTTTACTGGCATTATCATGTTCTTCTTCGTAATATTTATCTAACCTTCCGTCCAACCATTTAATCAGTGCTTTAATGTATCTGGAATAATTACCAAAAAATTAAGAATAATGAAAATCTCCTGTTCTTTCTTGCAAACTGTTAATTCAATGATATAATTTGTCATATTCACGTAACTTTAAAATGTATTCTTTAACACATGACAACTCTAAGTACCTCTCCAAGTGGCTGCTGCTGATGTCGAGGTCTTCTTTCCTAAACATATATTCCACCAACATTATCACACTGTTCTTAAACTGGTTGTTCTCCTGGAGGAAGTAACTCAGTTACTAATTTAGTAAATGTATTAGGCTTATAACGGCTTAAGAGTAGAGGTTTTGGTTCAATGTGTTATACTGCAATTTTATTTTATAAATTTCAGGCACTTGGTTTTCAGAGACGTTTGTAAAAGATGTTTCAGTTATGACAATTTATTCTCACCTCTTGCGACGTGATTACGTTGGTGTTGTTCTCCACGTATTGGATTAGCCACTTATCAAGAACAGAGTAGATATCCCTCGCTTGGGGAGGTTGTTCTGGTGACTTCTTCACGGGCTGGTACGACAGCATCCTAGGTTCAAAAGTTGCAGTCCTTATTTCGTGATCGATGTGGGCTGCTACTAAGATTTTTATGTATCTACTGCGAATCTGAAAATAAGCAATGTGGTTTGGAGGGACTAATACAAGAGGATATGAGTCAAATGACGCAATAAAATATTGAAAACTGATACTTTGGTAGTGAAGTGTTTACGATTTTTGGCGATTGTAAAAAAGATTATGGAATAATTTCCAGTTTTTCGATTTAAACATATCGACTTTAAGAAAAAATCCCTTACCTCGACATCTATTTTCTCATTTGTTATCACATCAACACACTCATCTTCACTAAACATGTTGTACTTCCCCACGATCAACTCTTTTCCCACAGAGTTCTTTCCAAACAACATGTTTCTGATTAAATCAAGTTGGCTGAGGAAATCCTTGAAGTTCTGGCTGTTGTTCACTTCGGTAAGATCAGTCAATAAAATCCATTCACTTCCATACATAACGCTTACTTGACCCTTGCTGTGCTGTATTTGGATAAATCGCTGATGAATTTTACTGCCCAACAGCGATTTAATGATTACATTTTGGTTGCTTGTAACTGCCTGTCTCTTGCACTTGCAGAGCTTTCTGAGCACTTTAAGGTAGATGGGTTTCCCTGAGGTGGTGTAATCCTCAACAATACTCTCAACCAAATCAGTGGGAATCAGGGACACCAGGTTAACATTATGTCTGATGATATTCAGGAAAGCTTCCAGTCCTACTCCTGACTTGTCAATGAAGAGGTTCCTGGTGAGGTCTAATCCAGGGTTGTCTAGCAGTTCTCCAGTGTGTTTCATCATGTCTCTGATGAGAATCACCATCCACTCCACGTCCTTTTTGAATCCTTGACCTTCCTGCATCTGTGGGATCAACATGTTGCAAATGTTGAAACACAATGTTGTGATGCCCAAAGCGTAGCAGTTCTCGTAAACTTCAGTCTTCTTTTTCAGTCCTTCAATAAAGGTGTGCATTTCTTGAAATGCTGACAGGATGTTTTCAAGATGCGCCTCTGTCAGCTGGTTATTTTTGCACCTGGTTTCAATGACTGTGAGAAGTAGTTTGAAGCCCAGAAGTTTAAACATACGCTGCTTTGTGGAAGCATCTATCTTATGGATAGTAAAAACATCTGTATGGTCCCTGTGGTCAATGCAAATGATTTTTCTTGTGAATCCGTCACTTTCAATTCCTCCGAAACTCAACCAGGACTTTCCTGCAAACATCTTTAAACAATCCCCTGATTTAATGTCTAAAGTAGTGATCTTTATCAGCGACTTCAATGAAGTTTGATCATGACCAGAAGGGAATATGGCCTTCTTTCCCGTCACAAAGTTCGTGAGAGTGATATCCTGGTCTGTGCTGGACCCTGAGCAAATCTTGAGCGGGGAGGAATACTTAGCTTTAATTTTGTTAACCACCCAGAAACTATCGGCAAATGAACTGAAGTTCTTTAATTCACCGGAGGCTGGCTTTTTCAAAATTAGATTATTGTTTTCATCGGCAGCCAAGAAAAGGTTCAAGTTCTTGTTGTAAAATTGAACCAGGTCGCCTCCCAGTACTGTGTTTTGAGACAAAGCATTTTCTGCTGTTACTTCAACTTTCTCCTTGTAGAGCTTGATAGAAAAACCTCCGCCTCTAGGTCCTATGAATACTTCTGGGAGTGGTGGATAAAGCGTTTGGATCGGATCTAGATTTCGAACACTAGTGCCGACAAACCCGTCTGGGTCACTGTACAAATTGATGAAGTCTGAGTGATTAACAGGGTCTCCAGGATCGTAGCCATCCACTGCGGGGATGACCTTAAAACGGCTGTGCTTACTGGGGTCCGAGTCTAGATAACAGGCAAAGTTTCTCGGCTCAGTGCAAGATGTGTTGCTGGGTGATGCTGTGAGAATCTTGCAGGAATACAGGTGGAACAGCTGAATCACGTGATCGTATCTCACGACTCGTCCCTCGTAACGGTTTAAACGCTTCCGGTTATCTTTCTCTTCTCGTTTGTGGTTATTTTCCAGCTCCAGAATTTTGTTCCAATTCAACTTCTTTCGCTTCTTTTCTTCTTTTAGCTCTTCCAAAGATTCGTACCTGGTTGATTAAGGCGTATTCTTAAGCTGTGACATTTCTATCTCTTTTTGATAATTAGTTTTTAAGTATGGTGACTCACTTATTGGGTTCATGCTAAGTGCTGTGTACGGCACCCTCTTAACCCCCTCTATGGTTTCCAAGTGGAGTGAAGATGAGGATGGGAAGTGCAAGTTATGTGAGGAGAGGATGGGCACCATTCAGCACATTTTGGCTGGGTGTAAGGTGGCCCTTAGTCAAGGAAGGTATAGATGGCGGCACGACAAGGTTCTGAAGCAGATCTCTGAACAGGTTGTCTTCCATTGTGATCGCCGAGTGAACACTTATAAGAACAAGGCCGGCGATGGAAGGCAGTTCATTGATTTTGTTCCTGCTGGGAAAAGAAAAGCAGGTACAGACGACCGGAAGGATAGTCGTGGTTTTGGGATCCTGAGTGGGTATCGGGATTGGATAGTGCTGTCAGACCTTGAGGGGCAGCTTAAGTTTCCCAGTGAGATTGTGGAAACACGGCTGAGGCCGGACCTTGTGATATTCTCAAGGTCGGCAAAGACAGTTATTTGGTGGGAGCTAACAGTACCATCTGAAGAGCGGATCGCTGAATCGCACGAGTACAAGCTCGACCGATACAGCGGTCTGCAGGCTGAGATTCAGGCGGAAGGTTGGTGCTGTTATAATGCCGCAGTCGAAGTTGGAGCTAGGGGAGTGGTTGCGCAGAGTTTGGAGAGAGCTGCGAGGAGGATTGGTTTTAGGGGAAGAGAGCTGAAGAAGCTGGTACGGGACAGTGGGAAAGAGGCAGCCCACTGTTCCAGATGGATCTACTTGTTATCGAGAAAGAGGGAGTGGGAGTTCAGGAAGGTTGGAGCTTGAGAGTTCACTATAACATCTAGAGGTACCATAAACGTTATCTCGTCGCCAATTGCGAGCTCTAACGGGTCTCCTCAAGTGACTCTCGGATCAGATGGTGGTTCAAGGGTGGACTGCTGGGGCGCCTGACAGGAAACCGTATTGCGATTAAAGCCCCGAAACGGTGTCAGGTTGGTAACTGATGATTCTGATCCATGCTCCTGTGAGTTTGCTGTTGTATCTCAACTCGCTAAACTGAGGCATCTCCGCATCTTGGGTGAATATGCGTACATCTTCATACTAAACCCAGGTGTGGCATGTGTCAGTGAATACGGGCGAGCGGATGCAATAGCGAAGGTGGTGTGACAAGGCCTAAAAGACACAGTCAGATAGTTGTCAGCTCGCTGACTGTAAGGGAGAAGGTATATCCGTATTTCGCTGCTACTGATGCAGTCCTTGATCTGGCAATCAAGGCTTCTCTGTTTTTCGTCTAACTATGTACCGTTGGGCTTGTGGAACCCGTCAGGGGGACATACATAGGTTAGAATGGTTTTGTGCACCAAGAGGAGTGAGGGAATGAGGGTTGAAGAGAGAGAGCTAGAGAGTTGTTAGGGTGGTTAGGATCAGTAGGTGGAGTGTTTGGTTGGAGCGTTCTGTTTTTGCTGTATAGCATTTTAGTCACTCCGCAGTTTATTAACTGTGTCTCAACTCTGATAATTAGTTATGAGGTACTTAAAAATGATTATCACGATATCAAGTAAATTTTATTGAATAGCTTAGATTATAACACAACTGAGAAACTTACTCATAGAGCGGCATGATGCGAAACACACCACATGTCTTAACACACGAGAGCTCATCAGGCAGCGTCTTGTAGTTGAGAGGCAGCATGAAGAGGTTGGAGACAGCGTCATTGGTGTAGTAGCTCCCCAACATAGCACCTTTCTGGGTGAGCATGACTGTGTCACCATACTGCAGGTGGGTCTCAGCTTTCGTTCCCATCTCTCGGCTCACATCTTCATGTCATAACACCAACACCAACTAAAATAAATAATTTTTTATTAACTCATAACTATGGGACGTGATGTTACAGTACTTTAAAAATATGTGGATTTTGGGGAAAAAAACTTTTACAAACTTTACAAAACGGTGGAAACATAATTAAGAAATATATAGAGAATAGAAAAATATTGAACAAAATACGGGGTGGAGTAAGCTAAGGAATGTGACGAAGGAAACATCTGAAGCATATCGAGTGATTATTTGAGCGACATGGTCGGTAGGACATGTAAAATGAATAAAATAATTAATGAACTAAATTTACTGGCGATCGTTACATCGAGCATTGAGAAGAAACCGGAATATTGACTCGCAATTTCAAGAATTTGAACATTCTTATTCGGAAACCATAAAAGTATACTCATTTACTAATCGCATGATGACTTTCTGTCACAGTGCGCAGACTTTCTGATCAGAACTTTGAAGTCTGAGCTTCAAATTAACTATAACCCTTACGAATTATCGTGCATCCTGTAAACCCTGAATACCGATACGTCAAAATACAGTAAGCAACTACGACAAAAGTACGAGGCACGATTGGCCTACTCACAAACTGAATCTGACAAAAATCGAACTGTTTGACCTATTTGTTAGATTTTAAGGGCCATTCAAAATGTGGACACGAATCTTGAAACACCCTGTACTAGAATAATAACGAAATTAGGATACGCTGCGGAGAAATTAAAACTATTATACTAGAATGTTATCGAAATATCGAATGTTATCCGAGTATTCTTGTAGATGATCGAATGAAACTGCAAATGGTGGATTAGAAATAATTATATTGATATGTATAACTACAAATTAATCAAATTTATTTCCATGTACCTTACAATCTAACTATATATAAAGCGAGACGATATATAATATATATCGTCTCGCTTTATATATAGTAAGATTAGTTGAACTCTATAATAGTCATCAAATCGTCACGAACGTAAAATTCAAAAGCGTGGTCGCAAACTATTTTATTCCGGATAAATTGTAAATGCGTCTGAAAATGAGTAAAGCAGCACAACATTTCTCCTGATAAGAAATTTAAAAAACTACCTTATACGTGTAGAAATGTTGTGACAAATAAAACAGTGTGATGCTGCTTAACGATCAGTCACTGCTGTTGACCAGTTAGTGACTGTTCAAAATATGTAAGCTCACCTCGAAATATGTACTTGGGTTAATATACGCGCAATAATTTTGTCATCTATCAGTTATTAGAATATAATTTCGTCATCATACCAAAGTTAAGAACTTTTGAGTTGCGGAGTTATTTGAAAAATTCCGGTCCTAGATAAATTGCGGTGACCTTATATTATAATTGAATTTATTCTGCTCGAGATCAACGATCTGAAGAATTGACAAAGATTTCCAATCTTCTCCAATAGTGCCAGTGGTGGTATGTCAACAAACTCCGCCCCCAGTAGCCCTATATTGATGGATGTTACTCGTCTAAATTTCTTCGAAGTAGCGCGCGCCGCTTTCTTCTCGAAATGTTGGCCCGATGGCACGAGCTATATTATGAGTATTGCTGAAAGCACAGTGTAAGGCCTACACGGACCGCCTCCAACTAGCCGATCCCTGTTTACATGCCGTGTAGCAGGGGACTAGAAAGAGCTAAACTAGTAAGCGGGGCATAGCCAATACACTACACTTCCATCATTGAGTATATTACCAACCAAGAGGAAAATTTCCTTGTGTTTGGAATCTACCAAGACGAAAGTTGTACAATCCAGCGAAATTCCGAAGAATCATTCCAGTAGTACATATATATTATAAATATATATATGTAAATACTTTAGTTTTAATACTTTCAACACTACTATATAACAAATAATTTGAGATAACGATGTTTAATAAATGATGCAAAGAATTTCGAAGATCTAATCAACACCAACTTTTAATGTGTAGGAGTACAGCAACAAAATATATATATATATTTGTTTCCATTTAACTGACACCAAGACATCATATCACCTTTAACACGAATGTCCGCAAAAACCGTAAAAGATATACAACTTAAACTTTTATGACTGGTTCAAATACTTTAATGGCCTTCAAATCAACATGAAAAAAATAAAAAATAGGCCAATTAGGAATAAGAATTTTTGTGCCCAAAATTTGGACCCCCAAATGGTGTCAAAAACGCGAATTAAATAAGTAATAATTAGTTTAGTCTCTTGAGTCTTGACACCACTTTAGTGTTAGACGGGTTCCTGCTAGTAGTAGTAGGATTAAAATGCCTCGACCGTCTATTTATTGTCATGTAGGTTTCTTCGTAGTAAATATTTGGAGAGCATATAACCGGATATTATCCAACTATCAGCATATAATTATAGCATATTTGCGCAGAATCTAAGGCTACATGTACAATGTCCGTCTGATCGATTATTGATATAATTACAAATCATTAAATATAAGATAAAAATACCCAAATTAGTCTTGAATTAAATTCAACAGCAATATATTCAAAAACGAACAAATGGCTGGTTTTTGGGTGGGGATTTACAAATTTGATGTCGTAATGAACTACAACGAGGATAAATTCCATTAAGCCCTAAATAATTATATGTACGTATTGATGGAAATATTCTCGGCTAAAAACCAATGAATACTCGGCTCATTATATGCCTATGTGTATGATTATGGATATCGGATAAAATATGAAGTGTGAATAACAACTTGACGATCATAAATTATAACCTCTCCGCGATAATTGCTTAATGAACAAGTTACCAATTACCATGTTGGGGTATGATATTTTGTGAAAAACCAAACACGGTATGGAAATTAGAGTCAGTTATAGAATTAACTCAGCTCAAATACTTTCAATGCGAATATAATCCATTGCCAGAGCTGGCTAATGACTATTAACATTGAGCCGGTCCCACCTCTCGAACAAAGTATAATAAGCTGGAGAATATCTCGAGATATCGAGTTATTTAGTTAAGTTAGGAATGTACTGATCGTGTAAATCTCATCATCAATGGTATATATTCGAGGATGAATATTGAAGGAGTACTTATAATTAGTCTTAACTGATTCGGGGGGGGGGGGGGGGGGGGGGGGGGTTCAGGTACTAAGTTCCGTACGTGGTACGTCGACTTCCTTTTATAAGTGTAACTTTGGAATTTACAAAAAAGACCCACCCCCTTCGCGGTACTAACTGTTTTTTTGGATAATATTTAGGACACCCACCCCTTTTGCGGCACTAACTGTTGAGAAATCACGGTACTAACTGTGTCTTGTTATATAAAATAAGATACCTGCACCCATAAATTGCTTTAAACAGGTCATTAAACATTGGGAAATGGGCAAATTATACCCACTATTTAGTGGGGGTTTTGTTTTAATAGCCGAATTAGATAAAAAGTTTTAAAAAAAGGAAAATGTATTTAAAAACCCAAAAAAAACCTCAAAAAACCTCAAAACCCAATCCCAAAATTGAAATTTGAGGTAAAATGGGTTTTTTTAGGGTTGGACACCCCCCTTAATACCATGTTCTAACTGTTTTTCTGGGAAATGAGCAGCAGAAGAAAATAATGACCCACCGTACCCCCCCCCCCCCCCCCCCCCCCCAACGTCACGTACGATTCTGACCTTATGATCCCCCTCCCCGACTGATTCGAAATAATGATTTTTTATCTTCCGTTTTCCGCCCTCCTAGAATTCTGGGCCCAGAATCCTGATTATTTCCTGGCGGTGAACTGCAGGAATTGTTTCGAATCGGCATGAAACTTCAATTGCACTGTCCACAATCTACTCCTGAGTTAAATTATTTCAATGTGAATTGATTAGCATCATCAGTCATCAGCCGGTATTTAATTCCCAGTAATAACAATAAACTTACGATGAAATTAAACGCTAGGCAGTTTTCATTTCTAAGAACGCGGTAATTTGGTAATCGGCACGGTTGTGGCACAAACCTAGTTTCAGTTGGGACACTAACCTAGTCCAGGGACAAAAGGATTTCGCGATTATTTTGTCCAAAAATCGCAATACCGCGAATTTTAACAGACTATACATTACACTATACATAAAATTGGTCGCAAATAATGGGGAAAATCGCGATTCCGTACATGCCGCGATTTCCTTTTGTCCCTGACCTAGTAGTAGTCTGAAGCTAAATGAGTAAATGCACACTCGGGGTACCCAAATAGCCAAATGGTACGTAGAACTGAACAACCGAACAAGGAGCTACAAAGCTAGGATCATACGAATGTTTCCTGCTAAAAATAGAGAAAGTTGTAATCTAGCGATAATAATATGATGTTTCAAAAAGATTCCTTATTGACTCTAATTCGGAAGGTCAACACTGCTGAAATGAACGGCAATCAAAGTTTAAGTTTAGTTAAGCAGTGCTTGCAGATATCAGCGAGGTTTAGAATCGATCTAAAAAGTGTCCACGACCATTACACCACACGTAATATGACAACCATATTTTCACTATACGCAAAGTATGCTAAACTGTGAATTCCTAGTTGCCAACAAAATATTTTGGGTGTATTGTAATTGTATAAATATTGGTTCGAATCTATTATTGGACATAATGAACAGCCAAACTTTTGAGCGGTTCTAGCTATGAGCAGTAGAGTGGCCGTCCAAACAAGGCCCGATAAAGTAGGCGTATTCACCGTTTCCATCTGATCGCGCCTAGGGACAGGAAATAAAAACGGAGAATCGGAGAACCTGATTGTAACCTCACGCCAAACCTTACTCTACGGACAATCAACCCATAATGGAACGCCGCTCATTTGGGATGGCCTAATCGAACAACACGTGATCACAAATATTACTATTAATAATGCAGATATATTTAAAGAATGCAATCCTTGACACTTACAACCTCTTTGATCCTACAGATCACGCAGGAACCTTGTGTTTCGAAAGCGTGTTAGCTACGATAATACCACTGTCTAGATTCTGGCTGGACTGTGAGCACCTCGACATAAAGCACGACCCATTAACCACATGCTGTAACAGTTAGGATGGAATAATTGGGGTATAAGAAGAGCCATTACCGTATAACCTGAGCTATAACACCAGGACCACTACAGGAAAAGGGACGTGTGAGCTAGGAGCTTAACTATGACACTTTAGGACCAGGCGTGTATAACAGCTAACAGGGTGTTAGAGTAGCTAGAGAGGAGATGCTGCTTTATATTGGTGTGACTACTAAGAGAGCTTGCTCTTAGACCGAGAGAGAGAGGCACATTAGAAAGTTAGAACTAGCTTGGTATTGTCAGATGAACAAAATTTGCAACACAATGCCTAAAAATTGTTCGACGCTGATCTCTCATCCCACGGTATGTGAGCACGGAGCTGGACCACTTTGTCCATTTACTATTTCCCGGCATCTTGGTCTTTCAATTGTTGAACAGTGGTCACAAATTGTATCATTGTTAATAAACAGAGGACTGACGCCACCCAGCTGACTCAAGCCTACAGTTATAAGTTATTAAAGAAATGTCCGGGTTAAAGATGTAAGCTGAATAAATGTATGTCATAAATCCAGGGTAGTGGGTGGCTTTAACTGCTCTGTGAGCCGGGGAGGGGAGAGCAGGAAAGACAAAAGGTAACCTCAGTGAGCCACATACATTTGGGTGAGAGATAACATACAGGCAGTATACATGGTTTAAGCACTAGATAAGCAGCTGTGTATGGATTACGGATTAGTCGATGCCAAATGTCAAGACCGGGTATCCTGGTGGCGCTAGGGTTGAAAAGGTGCCCAATTCCTAGGAACTTTTACCCTTTAGGTATCAGTATGATTATAAAAACTGCTGAAAAGCATGAAATTTATTGGAAAAAGCAACGTTAGTACCAGTAAAAATAATGAAAAAGATTATAAATAATAATATGGCCTAATATCTAGAGGAGAACTTAACCCATATTATGCTAGTGTAGTATATTAAGTGCGGGCTCTTTAGTACCTGTCCCTTACCCCGTCCTAGCATGAGTGCAGGTACCCAGGTAGAAGAAATGCTAAAAATTAAAAATATCTGTTGAAATGCACTAATGAGTACGCACTCAGTCTCACGAACACGCCCCCATCTGCATCGGAATGAAATGTGATAATTTTAATTTAAACGAAATTCTTCATTTCTCGTTTTTAGGAGTAAGCCAGTAATTCTATGAAGAAATATAGCACAGCTTATTGATTATTAATATCCGTTATCTTTTCATTAAATCTCTTTTTATTGCATTAAACGAACAAATTAAAGTATCTACTGGCTACTGTTTTAAACAAGTCGAGATCGAAAGTTCTAGTTTTATAATGAATTTTAAGGTACGCCGTGCAACTGTCATAATAACGTCGGATAATAGAAATTATCGGTGTTGAAACATGGAAAATGTTCCCATTATATCTGTGTGATATTCTACATCAATATAATGATACATATATATTATATCTTGCTGAATTTTTATTTTTCCTCAGTGTGTAACAATTAGTTATATGACAAAGGATATTATTGTTGTCGGAAATTAGAATTCAAGATAAGTATTATCTAGTTAGAGATTCATGGATAAAAGTTTTTCAAATTCTGCGTATGTGCTATCTTGGATCTGTCCACAAGACCTATCTACAAGATCAACAAAAATCCTATAAAACATAACATATATGCTGCACTATTATATCACAAATGACAAATCATATATTTATTCAAAGGTGGCATTAAACTAATATTTAGGCGGGGACACGGTCAATAGGCACTAACTGATTTAATTCAACATTTTAACTGGTTTAGCAACAATCGTGGATATTGGATAAATCCCTAGAAAACCAAATCAACTTTAAGCTCCCGGTCTCAATATTTGCAAGGTATACGCTGTATAAATCAA